ACAACTAAAATTATCTTTTATAACTTCATTATATAATACAAGAGAGGAATAACCGGAATAGCAAAAAATTCCGAACAGTACAACAGACGACATCAACACCCGTTACCCTGAAAAAAAAAACCCACTCTCAGAAAAACGAACAAAGAAATACAACAACGAACAACAAATGGTACAGATTAATCCCTTTCGGGATTCACAGTCCGGAGCGGGTTTCCTTTTCCTTTTCATTCGGTTTGAATTTTCCTTGGAGTTCGGTATTTTTGTTGTTTTACTTTTTCCTGTTTGACCTGGGATTCATTATTCCAAAAGCTAGGGATACAATGTGAAGTTTTACATGAACACAAGCCCCTCTTTTACCTATTTAGATAATACTTCGTAAAACTAAAACTCACAATAAAAAAAACCTGCACAGGGCAGCTATACCAACCAGTTGACTATACTAAATTGAACAAGGAAATTAAAAACGATATATAATTTGGAAAGCAGGGTCAAAATGTGCTCTCTATTTGCAGGTGCGTATATTAATAATATTTGCTTTAAAACATGCTTACTTATATTTTAATGATTTCAAAGAATCAATGTCTTCAAATTGTTTCAATGGAATCCAGGAAGGATATCAGCTTATTAAGGTTAATAATAATATTCTGATTCAAATATATATTTTAAGGTGTTAATCATTTGATAAATCCAATTCGTTTATTTATGATAATCATTAATGATATGCTTGTTCGTAAAGTCATAAATGCAAAGATATGCACAAAAATGTTTGCTTAAACTAGATTAACGTTTTAGAAGATGAATCTCATTTACTTTTGAAGTGTCCAAAAACCCCACATGCCTGTTAACCTTTCCTGATATAAACATTTCTTTTCGATTTTTTTTACGGTCAAAGATGTATCTATCTTATTTTAAAAATAATGACACGAATGCGAAAGCATTCCCAAAGAGATGATTCATTATCATACGTAGAGTATATTTACTGGTAATTGTTTGTTCTTAATGTTTTTATGTAAAAGCATATATCTAATGGAGAAAAAGTGTTGTATTAATTCATGACATAACCCTTGTACACACTTGCTAAAACCCAAAGCTAAAGAACAGCTCTTTTATAATCATTCATCTTAAGGTCGAGATTATGTCAACACAGATCAAAATCTCACACCCTGCATCCCTGCAAGTGCACGCAGAACGCTATCGCTAGCAACGGTAAATCTCACACCATGCATCCCTGCAAGTGCACGCAGAACGCTATCGCTATCAACGGTTTGTTTATTATATAATAATGCATAACAAAAAGAATATTGTGTCTCAATTCAATTAAACAGTGGTTTATATGTTGTAGATGTAATGATGATTGTCTGTATATACTCTTATGAACAATTGAATTTGAATCTAGATTTTCAATGTGACCAAGGATAGAACAAGGCTCACATTATTGTCATTCGACCTAGCTGTATGCATGTAACAAAATGGTATTTAATTATATGCTGCCATTGCTTGGTGAAACAGTTGCGTGTATAATTCTTATGGGACTATTGTTGTTCGAGATTTCTTTTATGGATGACGGACAGGAACACCTGCACTTGGTCCTAGAATTTAAATTATTTCATGTTCAAGCTAAAAATCAATAATAACATTCTTGATTTACCTATAGATTACAAATCATAGCTGTTCAACGTATTGTAACAGTTTTTCCTTTATTGATTTCGGACAGACTTTTTAATTTCTCTTGGTATACAACAATATGTAGGACTCTCTTGGCATACAGTTTTAGTTCACTCTTCTCAACTGTCAAGTTTCCGCTTTATCAGAGATTAAAACGCCTTCCGAAAATTATTCAAGTAACATAGGAGCTTTTAAAGAACAATGAAAAGAAGCTACCATTATCCATTGATTTTACTTTCCGCTATAGAAGGATCACCCTTTCATTTAATACTGCGATGTTTGTTGTCTATATTCTGATCGTATCGATCGCGCTGAAAAGGGAACACATCATACCACAGATATGGACTGAATTGTACGGGTAAAATAGACTGACTCTTATTTTGTGAACTTCCACATATTGTGAGACAACAGTCTACATCACCTGCATTATTACTTTCATATGAAGTATAATATATATAACATTGTTGGGCTGTTATTTAGACGAATTATATATATATATAATGTCTCTTCAGTGATGTTAGGAATCGAAACGGTATTTGGAAGACCATATAATTTACCTCAATTTAGGATAGACTCTTGAATTTTGAAGAGTCGAAATAGGATGAACGGATCATATAAACCCGAAGGCAAATATAATACAAGCCCAAACGAAAAAATATAAACAAGTCTAAATTGAAAACACTGTGAACGTTCAAACCTATGATTGCGCGTTGGATAAAAACCGCAATTTTTATACGTGTGCATGCAAAACAAATTTCTTGGCAGAGGGGTCTAAATACAGCACAAACAACATTTTCCGAAAGACCAAAAAAGTGAAAAAGTATATTTTAACAAAACGCATTTGACTAGCAGGTCGAACAACGGATGTTCTTAAATACTGCTGACTGTCATATATATATCTGTCGTAAAGTTGTCACTTAATTGTTTAGACATACTTATCAAATAATTATTTCTGTGACTGTATCTTACGATCCTTTACGACCGATAATTTAGCTTATTTGCAATCAATTCCATCTTCATACCTAATATAATTATCATGTACTGTGTTACAACTCTAGATTCTACTGACGAGGAAAGGTAACACTAGGCCAACGAAAGATGAATTTTTAGTTCAGTCTAGGTGGCCGAGTGGTCTAGAGCGTTGGACACAGTGCAGACGGTGTTGTCTCGATATCCCAATAGCATGAGTTCGAATCCCGGCGAGGGAAGAACAAAAATTTGCGTAGAATGCGTCCAGTTACCTAATTTACCTATAAGTATTGTTGTGATCTGTTTTACTGGACACTATTATTGGCAATTTCCGTTATCATTTTTATGCGAACAATCAAGGATTTTAATAGTCAGATATCAAACAAAGCCTTGATTTAGTGACGTGGATGTAAGCAACAGTTATACTATAGGGTAATGTATGGCCTTCATTAATGAGCAAACCCATAATGTCAAGGAAACTATAAATGGCCTCGACAATACAAAGTGTAAAACAATTCAAACAAGAAAACCAACGGCCTAAATTATGATAAAGTTCGTTTTTTTAATACATGAAATTTATGCAGCTGACCTTTTTAAAGATAGAGTGAATAAGTAAAAGAAATTAGTTAAGAACTTCAATGAAATTCGACCAGAAATTGCTAGAACCCCTGAAAGGCAAAACAATTAAATTTAAACCCTTCAAATGATTGAGTTATTTGAAGAGGGCTGCTTAAAAAAATCTATTTTCCCACGCGGAGCGCTTTATAAAGATAAGTAATAAGACGCATCTGTTAGAACGACATTTTCTCCTTTTCATCTACCAGACTTCCCGTTCAAAGATCAAATCACTTTCCTTTATTCGTGTAAAATATGAAAAAACAACAATTTAATGACCTTGTCATATCTATGAGGGATGTATAATTTTTTTCCATAATATTATACCAAGTTTCTTGACGGTTATGTCATTTTAAGTTAGGTCAAAATGTTGACTGAATGAAAAATATGAATGAACCCATTTGTATATATTAATATGCAAATACATAAATGAGTTTGCAATGTTCAAATGTGTACCATTCACTAACACTACTGAGAAAGGTCATTATTATGCCCCACCCTGACCAGGGAATCTACAATCGGTGGTCTCGATTTATTGATCCTATCTCAATTTTTTAAAAAATCGTTTTAAAACACACAAATCCTTATATCATGTAATTGTAGCTCCGTTAATTGTTAAAATAAATATAATTACGCACGAATAATCATGAAAGGGCTAGATAGGAATGAGTTTTTTTCAGTTTTTTTTTTAGGAAACTTTCTTACATTCATTCAGCTTACATTCGGGCATCTTGGCCAATCTGCAGAGTTTATCTGTTTCATGACCTAAAGGGTCAAATAAACTATTCTCATCACTTGGCGTGCGTCGTCCGTTAAATTTTACAAAATTCTTCTCTGAAATTACTTGGCAAATTGGAACCAAAATTAGCCACAATCATCATTGGGTATTTATTGTACGATGATACCGTCTGCAAACCAACATTGCCGACATGGCTTAACATAGAACATAAGGGTAAAATGCAAGATTCGACTTACATCATGTAAACTTCTATTATAGACAAAAATCAAATAGTAGTAGAAATGTTCAAAATGATGAGCGCTACCTTCTGTCTAATTAAATAAAAACTGTCAGACGACGTCCTATTAGAGTTAATGCCCTTAAGGTCACGATAGAGTAAATGGACGATTTTGACTAGGATGGAGAGTTGTCTCATTGGCAACTTAACCCGTTGTCTGTACCTATAGATCGGTCTTAAGTTACTATATATTTTAGAGTCAGCAAGCGGACAGATTGTTTAATATTTTAATTTAATGCTCATTTGTTATCGGGTTTTTTTTCGTGGAATTGACAATTTATTTCCTGGTTAGTGGAAACTCTGGGTTAACTTGTGGTCATTGCGGTTTTAACGTCAAAGGAACTGCATACCACTGCATTGAAGAGTTGTAGCGCGCCCAGTTATCAATTGAAAAAAAACCCAACATAATAATTGCCTTACTTATTTATTTTTATCCATTTCTGAAATTAATTAAGTACTTTGTATTTATATTATTTTTTGTTTTTTGTTTTTGCATCTTATAATGTAAATTTCAACTATATGTTCTTTGCAATTTGAATGATGTCAAGGCATTGAAAAAGTAATCGTTGTTGTGACGTAACTTTTATTTTTTTAACATGGCCTTAAGACTTTTTAGCAATACATCAGTGCATAACGTACAAATAAAAGAACGAATCAAAAACGTTGTTACAAAACCGTAATAGTTAATTTCCTCGTTTAGGCATATAAATAGCCATATTTTCTGGTTTAGAAATCAGATTTAATTTTGACTCGATAAAAGAAAAAACAATGGTAAGATTTAATTTAAATTAATTTATGTTTAACAAAAAATACTCATATTTAGATGAATATCTTTGAACACCTCTTAAGAGGTGCTAAGTTTTTCTACTTTTCTGCATGATTCGAAGATCGTAAAAGAAAGGAAAACAAAAATTCGAAAACAAATCTATTGAAAAAGAAAATTTTGGATGCATTACTTCATTCTAAATTAGTATATATATATCAAAGTCTGCGAATGTTAAGATTTAAGTTGATTTTACCAGAACTACTTATATTTAGTAAAAAATTATGAACACCTTTTAAAATATGAAAAGTTTTTCTACTTTTTTATGTGAGGATCGCAGTGAAAAGAAAAACACATTTTCTATTTGGAAAAAAAAATCTTTCATAAGAAAGTCGTTTTGGATATATATATATTACTGCATTTTAAAGAAATCTATATCAAAGTCTACGAATGTTTTTCAATATCAATTTTCACCAGAGACATATATACATGTACAGATATATACAAGTCTAAATTGAAAACAACGTTCAAACCTATGATTGCGTTGGATAAAAACCGCAATTTTTATACTTGTGCATGCAAAACAAATTTCTTGGTAGAGGGGTCTAATTACAGCACAAACAACATTTTCCAAAAGACCAAATGAGTGAAAAGGTATATTTTAACAAAACGCATTTGACTAGCAGGTCGAACAACTGATGTTCTTAAACCCTGCTGACTGCCATTGGCGATTGCCAAATAAACGGATCACAAGATGTAACAAAATAGATCTTATTATTAATTTATTACCAAACAGAAAACAATAAACTTGCGGAAAAGATGGTATACCGCAAACATGAGGTGCAAAAATTTGTACACCATATCCGGATTTCGACAATTAATGTCTCTTCAGTGATGTTAGGAATCGAAACGGTATTTGGAAGGCCATATAATTTACTTCAATTTAGGATAGACTCTTGAATTTTGAAAGAGTCTATGTACAGATATATATATATTTCGTTAATTGTGGTTCGTTAATTTGAAACACTATGTCTTATCATTTTTATGAAGATATTAAAGAATAAATACCTTGAATATATAATAAACAATTTAAAAATTAATGCATTTTATTTTTCAAAGCATTTTATCCCTGTGACTATCAAGTAGATAAATAGAAAGCTAGATGAAAGAAAAAATGTATTTATTTTCTCTCAGGTTCCACTTCAACTTTATGTTGCTGTCATAGTTGCGACGCTTGCAACTGCTATCCCTAATCCGAATAATAAGAAATTGCAGCTCTGCAAGAAATACGACTTGTTGTATAAACAATGTCTACCACCACAGGACTGGATATGTGATAAGCTACCAACAACCTACGTTGAGCAAGACGTGTAAGTACTCTTACCATAAAACATGTTATTTATGCGATAATCAAAAAAATATAATGGCAGCACTTATGAGAAAATAACAAAGGATTCACAAAATGTTTATTTTTAGGATATTGGGTATTAAAATGTGCATGAATTATTAATTTCGATACTACAAATTCACATTTCGATTATTTATTTCGAATCGGTAATTCTCGAGGCAAAAGTTGAGGTTAATCCAAAGCCCAACAAAACGTTAAAGCTGTAATAACAAAAAGTACAAAAAGAATAGGTGAAGGATGAGAATTCACTTGCTTCACTTAAGATAAAAAACAGATAAACAATCGCTTGCTTCGATATTTCATAATTTTGTATAGCATAACAGTCATTGTGTTTTTATATAAAAATAAGTAGATCTGTCAAATAATCTTAAAAATTTCCATTTTATACCAAATAAATCATCTTACCGCTTTATACAATAAAAGTTTTTAGAACAAGTCATGGAATTTAAACTGTGATTGAATCAAATTATTTGATGAGATATAAATGTGTACATTTGTATTTGTAAACAATTAATTAACCTCTCTCTCTATCTCTTACAGTCGTACAGCAATGGTAAATACCGAAGGAAATTTCATGAGATACTTAAATAACAGCAAAGAATGCAATGGTGTCACAAATCACGTATTCTCAAAAAAAATTGCAGTAGAGGAAATCAGAGGAAATGGGTAAATAAATAAAAAAAATATAACATTTGTTTTCCATGCGGTCCAAGTGATCATTGTCTACAATATTCTTTAGAAATGACTTTAGACGGACCGGTCTGAGTGCATATTTAATCTATTCTATACTAACTTTTGCTAGGATGCAGGAAGTCTTTAGTCATTGAATAAATATAATAACGGATATATGCATTGTTGTTTGCCTCATGTCCAGTGGCAAGTATTTATTGTACATTCAAGACGGACGAGTTAAGTGAAGAAAATTAAATTTCTTAATATTTTTTGTGCAAAAAGTCTTAAAAACAGTAAATATACATATATAGATATAAGAAGATGTGGTATGAGTGCATATACATATTTGACTCATTTATGTGTTAATGGTATTCTTAATTTACAACCAAGCATCTACGATCATGTAAATGTGTTATTATTTAACGTTTGAACTCGTGCTCCATTTAGAGCTCATACGAAGCTATTGTATTAACACAATAAGTTAAGTATTTCCTAACTTATTTTTCACTAGTTCATACCTAACTTTGGTTCGAATTTATTTTTTTTGTTTGTTATATTGTATTTAGACACATAATTTTTCATGAATATGCATTGGATATTTGCAATTGGACGTTGAGCAAATAACAATCAACCAATCAACCGATTTTGTTGTTTGCTGGCTGGTTGATTTTTGATGGTATGAAATTAATACTAACAATTAAAAAATATTTTTTAAATTCAAGAAATAATGATGATAGTTTTAATTTTGAATTAGTTGTATTTCGATTCAATACTATTTGGTTTGAAATAAAATCAAGCAATACTTATGGGTTCTTTGATAGAAAAAGTATTGAACAGTAATGAACAGTTATGAACAGATATGGACAGCAATGATTTTATGGTAAATTGGCCTCAAATTATTGTATGATGAGCTCATTGAATAGTTTATATTTTATGTGTGTTTTCCTTCCTGGCTATTTTGTTGATTATGAACATTTGATTTAACTCAAAGCAAATAAAAGACAGGCGGCATATGTCGTAAGATACTTTACTCTGACAAACCAATTTTTATCTCCTAGTTCTTCTTTTTAATATATTTTTTTATAATTTTCTTTATTATTTTTTATGATATTTAAAAAAAAAAAACCACAATCACTAATTTTAAATGTTTGCAGTAATATTAGTAACATTTGACAGTGATTTAAACTTTGTCATATGTTTAAACGTATCAAAATTTACTTCTAATTCGTAATAAAACCTACATTATATTAAAATCAAATTGTCACAAATTGTTTTAGATAAATATTTTCATGCTTTTTTTTCAGAGCGATAAAAATGGCAAGGATTCATAAGTTTCCTATGTGTAGAGAGGTTCGCAAGCTTGTGAGCTACATTTATAGACCCGTCCACCATGTAGTGACTGATATCAGACTAGGCACTGAAATTTGTGAAGTTATTTTCAGTAACCGATACCAAACTATTTATAAAGTGGAGTGTATAGGGTGAGTTAATTTCTTAGTCTCAATTATATCATTCTGTTATGAAAAGAGCACTTTGATCAACCAAAAAAATAAGTTAAAAATAGAAGAAACGTTTGTGCTTTGTTTGCGTGTTTGGTTGCTGTCTCATTGACGTATAACCCACACCTCCTCTTATTCATATTTCATTAAAAACGATAAAATACAGAAAATGAGAGTAACAAACGCTAAACATTTCTGAATTAAATGAAAACTGTTATCCTTTTAACTAATAAGTAACGATATCTCGCTTTCCATACATTCAAATTTTCTCCTTTATAGCTTGAAATCAGTCTGTTCTTTTTTACTATACTTTATGAATTGACTTACCCCTGTGTAAGTGTAAAAGACACATGAGGGTCTAGAAGGGGGTTTACAGAATAGAGAATAATGGACCAATACTACAGAATAATGGACCAAATATTAAAAATAGAGAAAAAAGACTAAAAGGCAAAAAATAAAGAATAGAGAGTTATGGGCAACCACTATAAAGAATAGAGAATTATGGGCAACCACTATAAAGAATAGAGAATTATGGACAACCAATATAAAGAATAGAGAATTATGGGCAACCACTATAAAGAATTAGAGAATTATGGGCAATCACTATAAAGAATAGAGAATTATGGGCAACCACTATAAAGAATAGAGAATTATGGGCAACCACTATAAAGAATTAGAGAATTATGGGCAATCACTATAAAGAATAGAGAATTATGGACAACCACTATAAAGAATAGAGAATTATGGGCAACCACTATAAAGAATTAGAGAATTATGGGCAATCACTATAAAGAATAGAGAATTATGGGCAACCACTATAAAGAATAGAGAATTATGGGCAACCACTATAAAGAATAGAGAATTATGGGCAACCACTATAAAGAATAGAGAATTATGGGCAACCACTATAAAGAATAGAGAATTATGGGCAACCACTATAAAGAAAAGAGAATTATGGGCAACCACTATAAAGAATAGAGACTTATGGGTAACCACTATAAAGAATAGAGAATTATGGGCAACCACTATAAAGAATAGAGAATTATGGGCAACCACTATAAAGAATAGAGAATTATGGGCAACCACTATAAAGAATAGAGAATTATGGACAACCACTATAAAGAATAGAGAATTATGGGCAACCACTATAAAGAATAGAGAATTATGGGCAACCACTATAAAGAATAGAGAATTATAGGCAACCACTATAAAGAATAGAGAATTATGGGCAACCACTATAAAGAATAGAGAAAACAATATCTTTAAAAATTAAAGATCCTCATACATGTCTGTTGTAAAAAATACAGTAATGAAGGACCCCCATCCAGACCCTCATACATGTCTGTCGTTGAAGACTTGTGTTGACTTTTATTACATGCCTTGGGTGATTTGTGTTATTGGGTTACTGTCTCATTGGGGTGTACCCCACATCTCGTTTTATTCATTCCAAGCGAAATATATATCATGTTTCATATGAAGTTATTTTGTTAATTTAATTTGATGTTACTTTTAATTTTACAGCCATAAGAAAACAACAAAATGCAAATTCCATTATGCACCACAAGATAATTATTTCTGCCGACCAACCAATTACGTCACCAGAACCATGGTAGTGTTATGCCCCAGCGACCATGGACAATTAAGTTACCATGTCGAGAAGATCCCAACAGCCTGTAGCTGTGTAAAGGTTGGATGTGACCATACATTCCCCACAAAAAGAATTTTCTAAAGAGATAGAACAGTATTAAGTCACTTACAAGGGCATGTGCAATATATTTCATCCTCATCATTTATATGTTTGTCTTAAATGTTTATGTCTAATTACAAACAACAACAGAAATATTGAATAAAAAATATATTTAAAATGTGTATATCTATTATTGTATATAAAAGAGGGACGAAAGATACCAGAGGGACAGTCAAACTCATAGATCGAAAACAAACTAACAACGCCATGGCAAAAAATAAAAAGACACAAAAAACTGGGGGTGATCTCAGGTGCTCCGGAAGGGTAAGCAGATCCTGCTCCACATGTGGCACCCGTCGTGTTGCTTATGTTATTACAAATCCGGTAAATAGTCTAATTTGGTAAGTCACATTCGTGAAAAGGGAAGGATATTGTTGTTACGAAATAAGGAACATATCCGATATCATCTGTGAAACGGTTATTCCATAACGGTCAACCAACTCGTGATGGCGTCCGTAAAATTTACGAAGGGATGATTTCAACTTCACCATTTGGAACTCTTGGCTTAATAGCTTCCTTGTGAGCAGCAATCCTCTATCAAGGAAATCATGATAGGAAACACAAGCCCGGGAATATCGTATCAATTGGGAGATATATACTCCGTATGCAGGCGCTGCTGGAATGTTACTACATAGAAATGGAAAGTTCACAATTGATTTTTATATAAATGACAGCGACCTAAAGTATACAGAATAATTTTATTATGTTGTAGTAAAATAGGTAATAAGAGTTTTGTAGGTTTTTTCATTGTATGTGCATCAGCATTAACAAACAGTTACGGGTGCCATATGTGGAGCACGATCTGCCTACATTTCTGGAGCACCTGAGATCACCCCCAGTTTTTGTGGGTTTCGTAATGCTCAGTCTTTAGTTTCTATGTTGTGTTTTGTGTACTGTTGTTTGTGTTTTCGTCGTTTTTAATTTTTTGTCACGATATTATCAGTTTGACAATGTTTTCGACTTATGATATAAATATAATAAGATGTGATATGATTGCCAATGAGACAACTCTCCACCAGAGATCAAATGACATAGAAGTTAACAACAATGAGCAAAACCCATACCGCATAGTCAGCTATAAAAGCCCCAGAAAGGACAAATGAGAAACCTAACGGCATGATTTATGTATAAAATAATGAACGAAAAACAAATATGATATACAGAAACAATCGACAACGTCTTGACTTGGGACAGGCACATACAGAATGTGGCGGGGTTAAATATGTTTGCGGGCGCCCAACCCTCCCCTAACCTGGGACAGTGGTTTAACAGCACAACATATGAGCAAACTATAAAAAAACAGTTGAAAAAGACTTAACTCACCACATCGATACAAAGCACAAAAACACAGACCGGGCGTGGCAGGGTATTTATACATTCCCACAACAAAAAAGACACTAAGTACAGATCTAAAAGTACTCGCGTTACTGACAGCTAGTTCAAAGCCAATAACAACTAATAAAAAAATCATGTATCTAAGACTAAAATATCAATCAATGTCGACATGAGTTTGATTATCTCTTTGGTATTTTTCGCCTCTCTTTTACTTACAACCTATTATAGTAAAAGTATCTGAAACCTCTGTCCTACAAACAATCTATTATAATATTAGTATCTGACACTTCTGTGCTACATACAATCTATTATAATATTAGTATCTGACACTTCTGTCCTACAAACAATCTATTATAATAATATTAGTATCTGACACTTCTGTCCTACAAACAATCTATTATAATAATATTAGTATCTGACACTTCTGAGCTACATACAATCTATTATAATTTTAGTATATGACACTTCTGTACTACATACAATCTATCATAATATTAGTATCTGATACTGCTGTCATATATGCAGTCTATATCGTGTTGTCTATTTTAAATACAAAGGGAAATAAAAAAAAAAAACGTAAAATAAAAGCAGTGGCAAAAAAAACAACAGATAAAAAGAACAGTTCCAAAAACAATACACTTAAACTAAATACTGAGCAACACGAACACAACCAAAAACAGGGTATTAACTCGGGTGCTTTGATAGGGTTGGCAGTTCATGAGTTTTTTAACTGCCCCTCGATTCATCTTCTCCGTTTTTAAACAGGTCTGTGCTTGCAATATTTAAGCTTCATATTTGATGACAATATTATATATAACATCCCATATCAATTTACTGACCGTGTATAAACAATTTACCGACCGTGTATAAACAATTTACCGACCGTGTATATACCTGTCCATATTAGGTTATTGACGGCCAGTGCAATCATCATATCCTACAGACTATGTGATACTTGCAACAAAACCTATCTATTGCTAACTTTGAACATTTAACGGATGTCGTCTTATATCGCACAATGCCATGGAGGATTGTAAACGCCGATAAAATATATTTGGTCAGCATGTGACGTCGCATGACCAATTGAATTCCTTGAAATATATAGACAGTAGAATATATTTCATATCCAGTTACATTATCTGAATGATAACACGTTGGTTTGTCTATTGGATTGGATTTTTTTACAACTATGTGCAGTGAGTACTTGCATGTCAAACTCAACGCTTTATAGTTATTATGAAAGATATCATTAAAAAAGGACAAGAACACACAACAATAGCTAACAATCTCGATCAGACGATACAAGGGAGGGTCTTTACAAATATGTTGATTTTATTAACTTATCTAGTATATTTAATGACTCTGTCGTTCAAAACTGTATATCTCCTTATTTTGATATTATAGAGCGACCCATTGTTTTGTAAACGTATAAAAAAAACCAATTAGATTGAAGATTAATTTTGAATTACCAGACCGTCATTATAGAATTTAAATCTACTCCAACATGAGACTGAAACAGCAACATTTCGATTTAATCGCTATAGGGTCACTTGTACAGGGTACAATGGTACAATGTTGTCATAACTACGCCAGTAAAGACATCAACTAAACATGAACTGCTTGCAATTTGTGAGTTTCTTATTTCTCAATCACATTTGATGGGTTATTGTGGTTAAATGTTTAGTTATCTATGCAAGGTTTTATCGTCTGTTGTTGTTTTGTGATCTATGCAAGGTTTTATCGTATGTTGTTGTTTTGTGATCTATGCAAGGTTTTATCGTCTGTTGTTGTTTTGTGATCTATGCAAGGTTTTATCGTCTGTTGTTGTTTTCGTCTAAATCATTTTTGCCTTGTTATTGTGCGATTTTATTTTTTTATGTTTGATTGGTCCCTTGAAAACTTATTCCCCTTTTAGATTAGAAGTATACTAATTATGTGAACTATTAGACCAAATACTGACCCTAACACACTTTATTCTGTTATAACACCGATATAGATGTGTAAATTATAGGATGTCACTGTCGTCTGTTACAGTTGTCACTAATTATCATTTAGTGTTTTTTTATGGTGAAAAAAATTATCATATGTACATGATGTATTTATAAATAGAACTTCAAAGAATGAAATAAATATAGCTTAATAGACAAATTTATTTACAAACCTATACCGTAACAATAACAAAAACAAAATTAATAAGCACATAGCGAAACGTTGTAAAACTTAAATATCACAGTCAGCTATACTTTCTTCTGGTTTTCAAAACAAGCCTTGTTTTATTCCAATTTTTGTTCCTTGTCTGTTTTCTGGGATGTGTACGGGCCCTTGTCTGATACCAAGAACGTTAACGGGTCCCGGAACTTCTCCTGTTAAACATTTGACTTTAACACAGCTACATGCTGTTGATACTTTTTCTTTGTAATACTGTAATCCTGTTAATGGACAGTCAACAAGCATGGTTCTGTACACAAAATTTGTTGGTCTACAAAAATATTGCTTGAACACCCCATAGTCAAATCTACAGTAATTGTTCTGTTTTCTCTCATCTCTGAAAAAATCAAATTTAAACTTTCAATTAAAAATGAAACAAAAATAAATGAATGAATAAATCAAACCATCAATAGATTAATAAAAATTCAGCGGCGGTTGTAGATAACGTTTTACCAATAAATACTCTTTTTTTATATATAGGTTGTTGTAATATCATTATAAATAAACAGCTGCGCCAATCGCATGATACGCCCGTCGTCTTGTGTGTGAATTTTTATGCAATAATCATAAATAGTTTCTGACATACGGCGCGACATGTGAAAACCCCCCTTTTTTTACAAAAAAACTCAATAACTCTAAAATAAAATTTTGAATCATCACCAAAAAGTATACAGATCTTACGATTAATATAACTAAGAAGATTGTAAAGTTTTAAGCAATAATCATAAATTGTTTTTGAGATACAGCGCGACATGTGAAAACCCCCCCTTTTTTTTTTTACAAAATACTCAATATCTCTAAAATAAAATTTTGAATCAAAACCAAAAAGTATACAGATCTTTAGATTAATATAAATAAGAAGTGTGTAAAGTTTTAAGCAATACTCGTAAATCGTTTTTGAGATACGGCGCGACATGTGAAAACCCCCTCCCCCTTTTTTTTTTTTACAAAATACTCATTAACTCAAAAACAAAATTTTGAATCATCACCAAAAAGTATACAGATCTTAAGATTAATATAACTAAGAAGTGTGTAAAGTTTTAAGCAATTATAATCATAATTTTTTTTGAGATACGGCGCGACATGTGAAAAAAACACACCCCTGTTTTAGTTACAAAGTCCCGTTACTCAAAAATTTTTAATCTTATTTTCACCAAAAAGTATACAGATCGTTTGACCATCATAAGAAACAACTATGCTAAGTTTCATGAAATGTGGATAAGTCATTCTCAAGTTACGGTGCGACATGTTTACGCTGGACAGACGGACAGACGACATTTGTATACCATAATACGTCCCGTCAAAATTTTGACGGGCGTATAAAAATTGAAGTCAAAAGAAATTGATTTTTTTGGAAAAAATATAAACGAATTTATGCAGGATTACCAGGAATTTATTTGATTGGTTTTCATAAGTCAACTGCAATGTTTATAGGAACATATTTACGGGAAAAAAGTGAAAAAAACACTTATTTTAAAAAGTCCAATAACGTTAAAATATGGAACAACAGAAGGGAAAATTGTCAAAAGTATATAGACTAACATTCCATTTTCATTTTTTTTTTTTGAAAAATGGCTATACCAAGTCAGGAATATGATAATTGTTTTTCACTTGTTCTGTTGGTTGGTAACGGTTGAGTTTTGTCAGTTTTTATGGACTTCCCCTTTTTTGAATTTACCTTGGAGTTTTGTATTTTTTATGTCGGAGCCTTTTATAGCCGACTATACGGTATGGGGTTTTCTCATTGTTGAATGCCGTACGGTTGCCTATAATTGCTTACATTTTCTTCATTTGAACTCTGGTGGACAGAAATGTTGTCTCATTGTCAATCATACCACAACTCCTTATTTTTATATTCGAAATGATTTTGCATTGTTTGAAATAAATGACTCAAGGTATATATACTTAAGTAAGTGAAAAAATCCTTATATTACAAAGATGAGAGTCCCAGTACTTTCCAACGACAAAAGTAAAATCATAAAAAAAGAAAACAGACACGAAATACCATAATATCTCCGGCTTAAACAGGCGGAAACTTAGCCAATATATTATCAGTATTAGTATTGAATATTTTTGCAAGTTTGTAGTTGACTTTACATTTTACTGACAACTGGACGTTAGTTAAGCAAGCACCAATCAAACGTATATTTGGCTGGATAACTTTGCAATTAAATTGTCCGATGTAGTTTAGGTGGGGATGCTTTATATCTGCAGTCAAAGAAGACCACTATTGCTTATTTGCAGTTCGCGCTTCATGTTAAATAATAATGAAACTTCTAAATCAGTCAATGAAATACAGATGACCATCTTACCCGTTGTAACAATCCGTCCTGTATATTTTCTGGACATTTCTGTCGGGGCCATTCAGTATGACCTGGCACACTTCAAAGCCTTCAGCTAATCCAGTCAGTTCATGATACACGGTTTTGTTTATATATTCAATTGGTACCTTAACTTCACGACAAACTGGTTTCTTTACATAATCTATTTTTTCTCTGAAATATAAATATATATGCACATTGAAAACAATTAAATTTTATAGCTAACTGATTTCTAAAATAGTTATTCAACAATAATCTATCTGCTATTTTAAGATATATTTCCGTAAATCAACTGAAGATAAAGACAGAAAATTAATTTAACTATCGTTCAACATATTGATTAACTAATGTTTGCTTAACATCCAGTGGTAAATTTCCATGCATGTTCAGGACGAGAACAAATCAACCATAAATACAATAGGTAGGTGCTGTAATAGAGGCCTTTTGGAATAAAGGTCGGCGAAATTTGGATTGCCACTGGAAAATGAGGGTATATTGAATAGGGTAAGAAATTTAGCCTTTGAACAGACCACCTACGGACCCCTCAAAGAATTAATGCAAGGGTTCTTAACGCGCAGAGAGCGTGATACTCTTTCTACTGGAGGCATCGTTTAACATAGTTATTAATTCAAATTGAATGGGATAAAGGGGTCATATTAGTGGCACTAATACACACGAACATTTGGACGTTACCAATATAATTCCTTTAGTCCCCAATTTTTTTTAACAGTATAGAAAATGTATAAACTGTGTTTTATAACTCAACTTTGGCTGGGTATTTGTCTTATTTCATTACTGTACAATGTATATTATGTAATTTGTATTTAACTTTGTAGACAAATATGTGACACTTAAATAAAAATAAACTGTTAACACAGAGATATGTCTCGCATATTTGTTATTTTGATAATGCAAATGTTGAAATTAAAATAGCAATACTTTAACATGTAAGTTATGCAAATATTCAAAGTCAATGAACCATGACTGAAGGTACAGGGCTAAACAATCTCCATGGAAATGAGATGTGCCAATGCTAATACAACTGCAAACCAAATACCATTGACTTTTCATAAGTTGTTCCCTTTATACTACCTTAACACAAACATTAACTTGTAAACTACGTAAAAGTGTCAAAGTCAACGAACCATAATTAAGGGGTGGGGTTATATAATCTTCATGGAAATGAAACTTGCAAATGCCAATACATTTGCATACCGAATATCATTGACTTAACATTAGTGGTTCATCTTAAACTGACCTAATCACAAACTAATACATGTAAACTAAGCAAAAGTTTCAAAGTTAATAGACCATGAATGAGGGGTAAGGACCAAATATTCTCCATGGAAATGAGATGTGCTAATGCTTATACAACTGCATACCAATTATCATTGACCTACCACTAACAGTTCCCCTTAAACTGACCTAATCACAAACTAATACATGAAAACTAAGCAAAAGTTTCAAAGTCAATAGACCATGAATGAGGAGGCGGGGCCAAATAATCTCCATGGAAATAAGATATGCCAATGCTTATACAACTGCATATCAAATATCATTGACCTACCACTAGTGGTTCCCCATAAACTGACCTAATCACAAAGTAATACTAAGACAATAAGAAATGACAAATATCTAAATAAGTTTATCTAATGTGCAATAAGGTTTAAATGATAATTACCCATACGGAGCTGGGTCTCCTAAACACTCACTGCATGACTTGATATAGTGGATAAATGATCCATCACTCTGTGACAATTTTTGTCTCAATCCACGCCTATAACACAAAGGAAAAAATAAAAAAAAAGACATCAATTTAATTCAATAAAACAATTATTATGATTAAAAACGATATATATACATCAATATTTGTTTATTTGCATTTTGATTAAAATACTGTCTGTTTAATAGTTAAATTTTACATTTTCCAAAAAAATGCATTACTTGGTAAAATCAAGAATTTGATGATCGCTTTCTCTGTAAACTGTAAAATTAACGATACCATGGAAATACAACATACAATGAAGTACTTCCATGGTGACAATAATTTCTAGACACAAGGTTACTTTTATAGCAAATGAAAGATCTCTGAAAAGTATCCCAATTCTACATTATGACAAAGTCGAAGAAAGATTTCATCAATAATTTTACCTTGTATCTGATAACAACAAGTGGGCAATCGTGTATGGTTGATCTACCCAGAATAACTTAATTTTAAGTAAAATTGTATTGATACCTAGCATCAATTATACTTATGCATTGAAAATCAGTTTGACTTATATCGAGCATTAATTGTGTATACGTACAATTTATTATATTCATACCTAGCAATAAGTGTGTATACTTAAATTTATTATATTTATACACAGTAATAAGTGTGTTTACTTAAAATTTATTGTATTTATACCTATCAATAAGTATATTTCTACTGTGGTTTCTCGTTTGAATTGTTTAACATTTTTTCATGTTGGGTCTTTTATAGCTGACTATAAGGTATGGGTTTTGCTCATTGTTGAAGACCTATACAATTTGCTACGTCATTTGGTCTCTGTGGATAGTTTCCTAATTGGCAATTATTTCAAATCTGCGAATATTTATACTGGCATAAATTTACCGTGATATCCGCCAGTGAAATAACAAACAAATTCAAAATATATCAAAAAATAATAAAGGAAGTTGAAGATTCAAATTGTGTAAGCATATCCTAAGGTGCATATCTTCAGGTTCATAATAAAAAACAAAGTAACAATGGACTTACATATCGAGTGGTGAATAACCAACTGGTTTATCACACATCCAGCTCCTGTGTGGCAGACACTGGTCATACAAATACTTGTAGTTGTTACATACATTCATAGGTACACATGAAACAAAGCTAAAGATGGCACAAGTCAGTAGTAGTTTGAACTAAAAAAATCATAATGATTATTACTTATGCTGATTTTTTTATAAATACATTTTAGCTTTGTATGCTAACTGATCACATAGTGGTTTAAAAATTATAATAGTTCAAAACTTGAATGTGTGAAATGTATTGTATAAGGTTGAACTTGAAATAATAATAATAATAATAATAATAATAATAATAATAATAATAATAATAATAATAAAACATAAAACACTTTTGACCAACTTGAACAAAAACATTTTAAAACAATTATTGTTCTATATATACACTTGCGTTTAGAAATTTTATTTCTTCAAAACATTTTTAAGATTTGATATTTTTTTTATGGAATATAGAATCTTTAAAATAAATGAATTCAAATATAACGAAATTTATTCACTTACCATTTTAACAGTGTTCACTTTAAGCAAATTGAGGACGATTTGATATAAATGGTCAAGTCTAGCCTTTATATAGTATAATGGTTGACAAGTGGTGTCTTTCTTTTGACAATGATGATGAATTAGCGTACGTACATCATGGACAATGGCCATAATGACGTAGGTTCTTAGGTCAAAATATAACATACTGGTTAGCGATTGGTCAGTATGTATATAGCCTTGTCGCTTAAATTTGTGTATATATAGACATATGATACTGGTGGCTAACAGAACCTAGACGAGACATAAGAAAAAAGGTAAACTATTATATCATACTTCATCTTAAGCGTAAGGCAAATATTATAACGAATTTCACAAATTAGATTTAACTTTTTACTTTAACCCTTTAACTTAGATTATATGCACAAGTATTTTCATCAAATCATATGAATTATTCCATATTGATAGAACTTTTAGTAGGTTTTTCTATATGAATGGGATTTTGAATAAATAAGCATATTCACCTGCGGAAAAAGTATATTCACCGCGCAAAACGTTGCGTGCTTTTACCTGAATAATTATGTTAAAATCGTTTGATGTACAATTGGTTTTTGGTAAATAACTTTGTCATAACATACATTTCTATCTGTACTCTCTAGGAATATGGAATAAAACAATTACTGTCTTTTGTTTCGGTAAATATGTGGTTTAATTGACTTTTGAAAAACTTATATTTACTTCGGGCGTTGGCCTCAGTGAATATCAATTTTTCAAAAGTCAATAAAACCACTTAAACCATTGTGGTGACGTCAGCCTATTCATTTACCGTGGATTCTTTTTCTAGAATCAACGCTTCCTAAATTTGCCGCTGAAATGGACTCACCAAATTATATTCAATTGTTTCCTTTGTGTGTCTAATTTCATTAAGTTTGAATTGGCTAATTTACTGATTTCTGTTCACTAATGATATTAATTTAAAAACTTACCTTTAATTTTTGTAATTTGTATATGCCTTCACTGGGAATCGAACCCTTCCTTGAAATCTGTTATGAATGACTGACATCAACACATCGACGCAACCTCTCGGCTACCAATGGGTTACAACTTAGATGTCTATTTTATATATATAAATGAACATCGAACACACAGGGGTTGTACCTTTATATATACACAATGGGCAGTCGTATAGTATAAGTTGGTAGCCGCGAGGTTAGCATGCTTAAAATCAGCGAGTTAAAAGATAGGGATTTGTCGGTTTAGGTTCGAATCCCTGTATTATCTCTGTTGTCCCAATTCTGTTTTTTTTTTATAATTTTGCATGTTATAGTGGATATTTTTGTAATAATAACGTGTTTTAGCGTTTATTTTTTGGATTATTATTGGCTATTTCACATGTTTGAAACAAAAATGATTGCATTCTATTTGTCAATTTTTGTTGTATAAATATAGTATGATTTCATCTGTTTTACTACATAATTTTACAAAGGTTTGTTCGCAAATTCCTATGCGAGAAAATCTTGATGTGCCTAGAGCGCTAGAACAATTTCGGTAACATACTTATTATATATACTTTATATATTTTTTTTTTGGTCGGGTTGCTGTCTCTTTGACACTTTCCCCATTTCCATTCTCAATTTTATAAGAAATAATCTCGAATATGTCTTATTTTGTATAAACAGATAATATTCATATGCCTGGTAATATAAAGATCTTTAAAGGTAGAAGTGTTATATTTGTATTTTGTTAACCAATTAATTGTGATCTGAGATTTATCAATGCATCGTTGGACACGATAACATGGTTATTTAAACTCACTTACAATACCTTCTAATTAAGAAAAGGCTTTAATTTTGAAAAGAAATTAACACAATAGTTTAAGTTATAGATACAATGGATAAGCGTAGATTCATGAAAAACAAACCATTCGCCCTCCGGGCTCATGGTTTCTTTTTCAAGAATCCACGCTTATCCATTGTATCTATATAACATATTTACCTCATCAAAAGACAGTAAATGTATAATATTTCATGATATCGTTAAGCAAAATAAGCGCATTGATTTTCTTAGTTCGATTATAAAGCTGCTGCTTCAGGTTACCATAAAACCACCTTTTTATACATAATGTGTTCATAAAACCACCTTTCTACACATAATGTGTTCATAAAACCACCTTTCTACACATAATGTGTTCATAACACCACCTTTCTACATATAATGTGTTCATAAAACCACCTTTCTATACATAATGTGTTCATAAAACCACCTTTCTATACATAATGTGTTCATAAAACCATCTTTCTATACATATTGTGTTCATGAAACCACCTTTCTATACATATTGTGTTCATAACTGTTTGTAGATGAGGCGTAGTATATTTTTCCTTGCTGTATTGCCATGTGTGTTTGGAATATTTGGAAAGAAATGTATTGTTGATCCGATTGAAAACAGATGGCCGGATATGGGAAAGATATGTCATGATCCGTTAGAATACAATCAGTACGTATACATTTTATAAAGTTATTTAAATTGTAAAATGCATGAATTAAAAATGTTCTAGAAGCACTGGAATCATGTCACTGGTTGGAATTTGATATCGTTTAGTCGAATTGCGCCAGTTGCAATTTTATTTGCCATTTCTTTCTGATATCCACCTTCATCTTACTTGTTTAAACATTACATACGCATGTGATAATTATCACGTGATATTTTGATTTATTGTTTGCTTAACGTCCAGTAGCAAATATTTAATGCATATTTAGGACGAAAATAGTGAATGGTGGTAAATTAAGACACGTTGGATAGTTAAAATTTTTTTGATTTGAAACATTCAACTTACGGACCCATCAAAGAGTCGTTTCAATGATTCTTTAAAGATCACACAGCATGAAAATCTCCAACACTAGGCATCAAATTTGATAACATGTACCTAATGTTTTACCGGACGTGACTATTTTATACATCCCACACAGCCAAATAACGAGCATGGGAGAAGAACGTCTTTAAACATGATATTTACAAATGTAAGAGATGTAATATTCGCAAAAATTTCATCATAAAAAGTTTATAAAACATATTAGCACTAGAATTGAACGAAACAAAACCAACACAAATATATATTTGATATGAGCTCAGAAAATTGTCATTTTTGTTAAATAACACTGTAATAACTGCTTTTTCTTTTTATACAGTATGGCAATAGAACAGGCTATAATAGATGACCCAGAAATTCAAATTTATTTAGAAGATGCCAGTAAAATATACCAACCAGCTGTTCCTTATGATGACCCTCAGTAAGTATATTATTATTCATTTTTACATACCATCAGAATTTTTTTAAATATCAAGGAAAAACACAGTAATATTCATCATACCACTTTAATATAATATGTAATAGATAACTGTGTTTCCGTTTCAAGCAATGAGACGTCAATACCGCTCACATTTAAATGAAAAATGTATTTCAAATAATATTTTATAGTATATGCCCACTTGATATTGGAAATCCAAGTGGACCACAGATTGTAGAATGTGGCAGTATATGTCCAAGCTCTTACACTAACCTTACAACAGTTTGGTATGAGTACGAAACAGGAAGGACAACCATGTGTAATGTTATCCGGCCATGGCAGCAAATTGTTTATTATATGCAATGCGGGTAAGTGTACTATGAATAACATGAAGTTTTATCTACAAAATGAGAAGGAAATACTAATAATTAAAGCAAATAAGTTTAAATACATGGCAGGCAAAGGTATAAATATAATGCAAAACAAAATTGATATGCTAAAATGTTCAGAAATTTGAAATTTAATGTGATAGCTAATGCAAGTTTTTAAATGAATAGTGTAGAATGCTTTTTGGCAAATTTTAATAATACAATGTTTTGGATAATAAATAAATCTCTTTTTCAAAATATCAGTTATATATCAAAGTTCTTGGGAAGAATGCGTATATATATTGTCCACTTCCAGACAATAATTCTATTTCTATTTAATTTAAGAACCAAATATCCACTGGTTGACGGTATGGACAACTCATTCCAATGTGTCCCCGAAGATTTGATCAGACGTAAAATAGCTGTGTATTGTCCAAATATTGTACCACAATGTAGAAAAATGGATATTGACCTACCACAACACTGTGCTGCTAGCAAATTCCAATGTAGACAAAAAAAGATTTCACAACAATCAAAATTGGACAATCTTTTTGCTTCTTTTGGTTGGTGACAGCGACGATGAATGAGTCGTTATACTGGACACAACCATGTGACATTAAGTTATCTGTGATTTTTTAATACATGTTATAGGTTTTTGTTTAACTATTTGTTGGTACCGATATTTAATAATAAAGTGTTTTGAAAAAAAATATAATAGTCCTTATCAATATTATTTTTGTATTCAGACTTGTGACTTTTAAGTGAGACGTATACACGCTGTAAAAACACATTAAAGATAAAAACTAAATATTGAAACTATATAAAAAGTTTACATTTTCAATCGAGAGTAGAGGTACTAACTCCCGAAGTCTACTTATAGGTTTAAGAGTGGCCTAAGATGATGCGTTTTAATCAATTATTTTTGCAACAGAAAATCACCATTCATGCACTTATCAGTTTCTATAATTATGGTCTATATTAATTACACGACCTTTCACAGAATTCATTCTAGCGTATTGAACATTTTTGGAGCATTTTGCAAGACTTAATGTCTCCTTTTATATCTTGACTAAAATCTTTTCTCTTTACTCTTTGCTGAGACATCTTTTTTTTCTATATTATTTGACGTACATTTCAAATTTGTTATTGTATAAATGAATAATTCATGACACCGTAAACAAGTTTAGGACCTTTCGCTTTACGTTATAACATTAATCGTTTTTTTAATGTAACAAACTGTCACAACACAATATTGTACCTTTGTTCCCGAAATAAAAATTACAAGGTTTACAATGTGACATATTTATGTGTAGTAATTATAGGTCAACTTCAAGTAATACTCTGATTGTCGGATTACAACTTTTCTATCGAAATAAATCTACGTCATAGCGAAAATAATCATTTACAATTTTCGTAATACCATGATAAAAAAATATGCATTTTAAGAAAAGTCGGTTGTCAAAGATTTCAGTCTTCGCTAAATACCTCTTGACGACGTTATAATATTGAAATCTATGATTTGATATAATCTGGTTATACAATGTGATTCTGCGCCCAATGTATACAATTCAGAGAAGGGCACATAGTTACGGATCTGAAAATTAAGAAGAAATGAAGGGAAATAATGGCAAACCATGAACAAAGAATCAGCAACATAAAAAAATCACTCGATAAATGATGTGACGAACCCAGAGTTAGAGTAATCTTCAACGAAGAAGTAACAAAATACAGCTGCAATGAAGATAGGGTAAGAGGGATATCAAAAGATGAAGTTGCAAAAATAGGTGCTAGTACTACATAAAATGCAATAGATGAGACAACTGGCGACAGAGAATGGCCTTAAAAGAAGGAAACAATAACCACAGTTATAGAAGAAATAAATGAAAGAAAAACGAGGGAAAACAATTTAATGATATTTGGTATAAACGAAAATGAGTCTAAGATAAAGCAGGAAAGAATTGGTCATGATAAAAAAAGTATAAAAGCAACTTTTTTCGCGATGGGAAAATAACGATTCACACAGAAAACATTAAAAGGTATAACAAAAATACCGAACTCCTAGGCAAAAGTATTAGGCCCCCTATTATTTGTTATTTACATTAATGACCTACCTGATTATGTCAAATCAGATGCTTACTTATTTGATAATGAAACTAAAATATTCAGAGCGATCATGATGCATTGCAAAATGACCTTAAACAGAAAAATCCATATTAAATTATCTCATCTAAGCCCTATCTTTGTACAATACAAAACAAAACCCATATTACTTCACTTCCCTCTGTACGTTTAGATCAGTTCTCTTTAGAACTGTCGGAATGATTTGTCACAAAACGGTTCTAAACACTTCTAGCTCAGCCACCTTATAACAGTTTTACCATAAAACTTCCAGATTCAGTTCAAGTGTAGAACTGTTAGAATTAGTTCTAGTGCAGAATATTACACAAGAAACTCTTTATTGTTTCTACGCGGGCATCGAATAACATAAACAGAAAGTGGTATAAAGGTCATAATCGGATCGAGTCCATGAACAAATATATTGTTTTTAGGACAAAGGTGTTAGATAATAATAGTATAATAGGTTGTAATTAAAAGAGAGGAGAAAGATACCAAAGAGATATTTCAACGCACAGGGAATGTCATGGCAAAAACAGAAAAACGACGAAAAGACAAACAACACAGAATGAGCATCACGAACCACAATAAAAACTGGGGTGCTCCGAAAGGGTAGGTAGATTGTGCTCTATATGTGGCACCTGTAAATCTTTGTTAATGCCGATGCACAAGAGGTACAAATTTTAAATCTACTTTTAATTCAATATTTCTGTTGTTGTTTTTAAGAATGTATCGTCACACCAAACCTTTACACAGCTACAGGCTGTTGGGATCTTCTCGACATGGTAACTTAATCTTCCAATGCTGGGACATAACACTAACATGGTTCTGGTGACGTAATTAGTTGGTCGGCAGAAATAATTATCTTGTGGTGCATAATGGAATCTGCATATTGTTGTTTTCTTATGGCTGTAAAATTAATAGTAACTTCAAATAAATTAACAAAATAACTTCATATGAAACATGATATATATTCCGATATGATTGAATAAAACAAGATGTGGGATACACCCCAATGAGACAGTAACCCAATTACACAAATCACCCAAGGCATGTAATAAAAGTCAACATAAGTCTTCAACGACAGACATGTGTAAGGGTCTGGATGGGGCCCTTCATTACTGTATTTTTAAAATGTTTTTAGGTCATTTTTCCCTAATCGTTATAGCGTTTGCCCATTATTTTCTATTCTTTATATTTTTGCACCCCATTATTCTTTATTCTTTATTTATTGGCCTATTTTTCCCTATGGTTGATTTTTTTGGCCCATTTCCTGTAGTATTGGCCCATTATTCTCTATCCTGTAAACCCCATCTAGACCCTCATAAGTCTCCTACATTTATACTGGGGTAAATCAATACATGTAGTATAGGAAAAAGTATAAAAATACGAAGATGTGGTATGATTGCCAATGAGACAACTCTCCACAAGAGACCAAATGACACAGAAATTAACAACTATAGGTCACCGTACGGCCTTCAACAATGAGCAATGCCCATACCGCATAGTCACCTATAAAAGGCCCCGAAATGACAAATGTAAAACAATTCAAACGAGAAAACTAATTAATGTACAAAATAATGAACGAAAAACACATATGTTACACAGCAACAAACGACAACCACTGAATTACAGGCTCCTGACTTAGGACAGGTACATATAGAATGTGGCGGGGTTAAACTCGTTTGAAGGCACCAACCCTCCCCTAACCTGGGCAGTGGTGTAACAGTACAACATAAGAACAAACTATAAAAATCAGTTGAAAAAGGCTTAACTCATCAGATGGATACAAATAGAAATACATCTTACAAAAACACAGAGTGGACGTGGACGGGTACTTATACGTCCCACAACAAAGAGACACTAAGTACAGATCTGAGAGTACTCACAGTTACTAACAGCTATTTCAAAGCCAATAACAACTAATAAAAAAATCATGCATCTAAGACTCAAAAGCACAGATTGATTACAAGCTAAAACGGAGAAGATTTGATGTATGGGAAGCGAGAGATTTTTACTTATGAGTTCAAAGGATAACAGGAACTGTCAAAAAATATTGGACAGTACAACAGACATCACCAACCACTTCCATCCGACTCCTCTCAATAAAGTACAATAGACAAACAACAACGAACATGGTTCATATAGACCGTTATGATATTGTAAATATCATATCTATTTATTTAGTTGGCCTAATTTGTTTTGTGTGGCCTAAGAATATTTACATGATATATATATATTTACATTGTGTACAAAATAATACACATTGTATTACAACTATGCAGTTTAGAAATCACTGGAACAATCATCGATACCCATGAAATGATTAGAACTTTCTATTTTACTTACATAACGTTTCCTGAATTATCATAACAAAAAATGCGAAATTTAAGCATCTACAGTTATCTAGAATTTTCCGTTACAAGCATATATATATGCAGACCCTAAAGATAGACATGGACTCAGACATCGATAGGTCTACATCAACATTCTCAGCAGTTCGATTGACACTTTTATTTACTAACAACATCATACTAAATTGTGACCTATTGGACGTAATATTCTGTGGATTCCCGTGAAGATTTCCGGATAAAGAAAAGATAAAAGGTTTGACTCATATTTTGACAGTTAAGTTGACATTACTATTTGTGTTATACTTCTTGTAAATTTATGTATAATAAATCTTGTTAAATTTTATTTTTGATTTGTGTCTTTTGTTGGCTACAATTAAAAGTCGATTTTTCTGGTCGTAACAGAAATTGGGGGCTCGTGTCCTGGAAAACGTAAATATCTCATTGAATTTTTTTAGTATTTTTATTAGAACTAAATATAAACTAACAACAAAATTCTACAAAATGGCATTTGATGCCGGTAAATTTTTTAAAACGCCAGACCTGGAGGGGTTTGATAATTTAAAGAAAGAGGAATTAGTGTTGCTTGCTAAACATCTGAAATTAGACTTTAGAGTATCTATGAGAAAACAAATTATAAAAAATTTGGTAATAGACAAATTAGTTGACGCAAACATTTTAGGTGAAGAGGCTCTTGAACTGAAGGTCGAAAATGTTTATGATATCAAATTAAAACAGTTTGAATTAGAACATGAATTTAAATTAAAACAATTTGAAAAAGAAGTTTAGTTAAAACAATTGGGAAAAGAAGAAAGGTTAGCGATGGAGAAAAAGAAAAGAAAAAGAAGATGAATTTAAATTAAAACAGGCAGAACTTGAAATGAGGGAAAGGTTAGAGATGGAGAAAATGAAAATTGAAATAGCCAAAGAAGAAAGCAACACTAAAGTCCAGTCGAAATCAGAACATTTTGATGCAGCAAAAAATATACGTCTGGTTCCCAGATTTTGTGAAAAAAACAGTTGATAAATATTTTTCACAGTTTGAGAAAATTGCTCAAAAATTTGAAATGGCCAGAGTCTTATTGGACTACAATGCTACAAAGTGTTTTTGAGGGCAAGGCCGCTGAAATTTACTCAACACTTTCATCCGAACGAAGTTCTGATTATGACACGGTAAAACAGGAAGTTTTGAAAGCTTATGAGCTAGTACCAGAAGCATATAGACAGAAATTTAGATCTTATAAAAAGTTTGATTCACAAACCTATGTTGAATTTGCTAGGGAAAAAGAAGATCTATTTGATAAATGGCTTACATCAAAGAAAACAGATAACAATTTTGATAACCTAAGACAATTGATGTTATTAGAAGAGTTCAAACAATGTGTTCATTTAGACTTAAAACACATTTAGACGACAAAACTGTTGAGACATTACATGATGCAGCTGTTATTTCAGATAATTATACCCTTTCACATAAAAGAAGTTTCAAGGGTCAAAATTTTAATACTTCGAGTGGAAATTACAAAAATCAAAGCACTGAGCGTACTGATAGTAAGCCTGTTGCACAGAATAAGAATCAGTCTAGTTATAATATGTCTAGTCCAAAATTTGATACTTTTGAGAAGAATCACTGACTTGTGCTTATTGTAAGAAGAATGGTCATCTGATGGCTGATTGTTTTAGACTCCAGAAGAAGAATGAAAGAGATAATAAGCCCAAGACCAGTGCTTGTACGACACACCGTGTTATCAATACGTTGGAATGTCCTGCGAGTCAGGCTTTTAAGTCCAGTTTTTGTGATTAAATGGAGGATTATAAACCCTTTATGTCTGATGGGTTTGTTTCTATTGTTGATAATACTACTCCTCAGCCTATTAAGATTTTACGGGATACTAGAGCTTCTCATTCTTTATTGTTAGAAGGTGTGTTGCCTTTGTCCGAGGAGACTTCTGTTGGTGCCTCCATTTTGTTACAAGGTGTGGAGTTAGGTTGCATAGATGTTCCCCTCCATCGTATTTATCTGATATCAGATTTAATAACTGGACCAGTTGTTGTTGGTGTTCGTCCTAATCTCCCTGTTGAAGGTGTTTCATTATTGCTAGGAAATGATCTAGCTAGGAACAAAGTGGTTGCTGAACCAATTGTTACCAGTGAACCGGTGGTGGATGTAAAATCACCTGAAGATGATGCTGAACTGTATCCAGCTTGTGTTGTTACTAGGGCGATGGCTAGAAAACAACAACATGAGGATTTGCAAGAAGACCAGTTTGATTACATGGACCTTTCTGACACTTTCCTAGCCGACATTGAAGGTCTAGGTAGCTCAGAAAAGGCCCTAATAAGACTACCTAGTGTTAACTAGATTGTAATTATGCCATGGCCAGACGTAAACAGTCATTCATTAGACCGAAGGAAATTTGTCGAAGAACAAAATAAAGACCCTGAGGTTCTTCAGCTCCGCAAGAGGGCTCAACAACAGGAGGAAGCAGACAAAGTGGCCGAATGCTATTACCATCATACGGCATTTTAATGAGGAAGTGGAGGCCCCCTGATGCTACCCCAGAGGAGGAATGGAGAGTGGTATACCAAGTGGTGGTGCCTAAAGTTTATAGGCAAGAAATGATTGGTCTTGCCCATGACACCCCCTTGGCTGGACACTAAGGTATAAGGAAGACTTGCTTTAAGATCTTGCAACATTTCTACCTGCCAAACCTTAGAAATGATGTCGCAGAATACTGCAAATCATGCCATATATACCAGGTAGTTCGTAAGCCTAACCAGAAAATACCACCAGCACCACTTCTGCCTATTCCAGCATTTGAAGAACCTTTCAGCCGAGTACTCATTAATTGCTGTGGACCTTTACCAAATACCAAGACCGGAAATGCGTATTTTTTGACGATCATGTGTACATCCACTCGCTTTCCTGAGGCTATTCCGCTAAGGAATATCAAGACACCAACTATTGTCAAAGCTCTTATCAAATTTTTCACGCTAGTAGGACTTCCGAAGTCTAAACAGGCCGACCAGGGTTCAAATTTCATGTCAGGTTTATTTCAGCAAGTCGTGTACCAGTTAGGGATTGCTCAGTATAGGTCAAGTGCTTATCATCCAGAATCTCAAGGTGCCTTAGAACGTTTTAAAACCATATTTTGAGCGTACTGATGAAGGTGAGAGTAAACCAGTTGCCACTTTAGCCATGGTTAAACTGGAGAACAATCATGACAAACCAGATATAATTGAACCACCTTTTAGTTCTAAAACTATGGAAGAGACAGTTAGATTGAAAAATTTGGGAATTTTGTCAAATTTAGATTCAAAACTTGCACATCCGTCTTTTTATCGTAGAGAAAAAATAAAAGCTTTGGTATTTTCTTTTAAAAATCTTTTTCCAGATGTGCCAAACAAAACCACTAGTGTTTGTCATGATGTTGATGTAGGCGATGCTTCTCCAATTAAGCAACATCCTTACCGGCTCAATCTACTCAAACTTGAGTTTATGAGACAAGAAATTAAATATATGCTTGACAATGATATTATTGAGACATGTAACAGTGAATTGAGCTCTCCTTGTCTCCTTGTGTCCAAACCAGATAAAAACTTTCGTTTCGTAACTGATTTCAGACAAGTAAATTCAGTTTCAAAATCTGATTCCTATCCGATTCCAAGGATAGACGATTGTATTGACAACATTGGTCAAGCAAAATTGAGCAAATTTGATTTATTGAAAGGTTACTGGCAAGTACCATTGACACAGAGAGCTCATGAAATATCAGCTTTTGTAACACCAGATGGCTTATTTCAGTATACTGTCATGCCGTTTGGTATGAAAAGTGCTCCAGCTACATTTCAAAGAATGATCAATATTGTTATACAAGATTTAGGCTGTTGTTATGTTTATATTGATGATCTTATTGTATGTAGGGAACAGCATTTAACACATTTATATAATACTTTTGATAGATTGTCACAATCAAATTTGACTGTTAATCTTAGTAAAAGTGAATTTTGTCAGGCCACTGTTGATTATTTAGGGCATACAGTTGGCCAAGGTCAGGTGAAACCAATTACGACTAAAGTGGATGCAATTACCAAATTTCCTCCTCCTACAAATAAAAAACAACTTATGAGATATTTAGGCATGATTGGATTTTTCAGGAAATTCTGTTCAAATTTTGCTACCGTTGTTCAACCTTTTTACGTAAAGATTCTAAATTTATCTGGAGTGAAAATTGTTAAAACGCTTTTGAAAATAGTAAATCACTTTTAATTAATAGTACAGTTCTGGTCACTCCAGACTTTGAAAAACAATTTAAACTTGCCATTGATGCAAGCGATGTAGGAATTGGAGCTGTTTTATATCAACAGACAGATGATAATGTTGAGAAACCTATATCATATTTTTCTAAGAAATTAGATGAACATCAGAAAAATTATTCGACAATTGAAAAAGAGTGTTTTGCACTGTTGTCTGCACTTCAACATTTTGATGTATATTTAAATCCCACTGTGCATCCTATTCTTGTTTATACTGATCATAATCCTCTCACCTTCATACATAAAATGAGAAACAAGAACCAGAGGTTGACTAGGTGGAGTTTATTGTTACAGGAATATGATGTTATTGTAAAACATATTAAAGGTAAAGATAATGTAATAGCAGATGCTTTATCTAGATCTTATTAAAACACTGTATATACTATGTATTTTTGTACATATTATTCATGAAAAGTTTTTGTTACACTCAAACTTTTTCAAGGGGAGAGGTGTTATGATATTGTAACTATCATATTTATTTAGTTGGCCTAATTTGTTTGTGTGGCCTAAGAATGTTAACATGATATATATTTACATTGTGTACAAAATAATACACATTGTATTACAACTATGCAGGTAAGAAATCACTGGAACAATCAGTGATACTCGTGGAATGATTAGAACTTTCTATTTTACTTACATAACGTTTTCTGAATTATCATAACAAAAGATGCGTAATTTAAACATCAACAGTTATCTAGAATTTTCCGTTACAAGCATATATATTTGCAGACCCTAAAGATAGACATGGACTCAGTCATCGATAGACATCAACATTCTCAGCAGTTCGATTGACACTTTTATTTACTAACAACATCATACTAAATTGTGACCTATTGGACGTAATATTCTGTGGATTCCTGTGAAGATTTCCGGATAAAGAAAAGATAAAAGATTGGACTCATATTTTGACAGTTAAGTTTACATTACCATTTGTGTAATACTTCTTGTAAACTTGTGTATAAAAAATCTTGTCAATTTTTATTATTGATTTGTGTCTTTTGTTGGCTACAATTAAAAGTAGATTTTTCTGGTCGTAACAAGACTAACATGATACAGGCACACTATGTTGCGGAATTAAAACAGTTTTACGTGCGCACATGTTTATTTGAAAAACCAACAATCAATCAATCTAAAAATATGTAGATGATAAACTAATTGTTTTTATCGAATTCAGCGTTTTTACTCTTATCTTTTTTGTATTTTATCGTTTATTAATGAAATATGAATAAGAGGAGGTGTTGGTTAAACGTCAACAGTCATTATGTGGTTGACGGGTCTATAAATATGGCTCACAATCGTGCGAACCTCTCTGCACATAGGAAACTTATGGTACCTTGCTATTTTCGTCATTCTGAAAAAAAAAGCATGAAATATTTATCTCAAACATTTTATGGCTATTTGATCTTAATCTTATGTTGCTTTTATCACGAATGAGAAGTAAATTTTGATACGTATTAACAGATGGTAAAATTTAAATCACTGTGAAATGTTACTAATATTACTGCAAACATTTGAAATCAGTGATTGTGGGGTTTTTAAATATCATAAAAAATAAGAAAGAAGAATATAAAAAAGAAACATAAAGAAGGAGAAAAAGAAGTAACAAATTTGGTGGTCAGAGTAAAGTGTCTTACGATATATCGCCATGCCGACTGTCTTTTATTTGTCTTGAGTTAAATCAAGTTTCATAATCAACAAAAATAGCCAGGAAGAAAAACACAAATGAATTATAAACTTATCAATGAGGCCATTTTTTGACATTTAAATCATTATTGTTCGTTACTGTTCATAACTGTTCATCACTGTTCATTACTGTTAAATACTATATCTATCTGAAACAACCAATAACATTGATTTTTGTTTTAAACCAAATAGTATTGAGTCGACATAAAACTTATTCAAAATTAAAATCATGATCATTATTTCTTCAATTTTCAAATAATTTTTTATACTTTATTTTGTGATTGTTAGTCTTTATCTCAAACCATCAAAAAGCCAGCAGTTGATGGTTTTTTGCTCAATGTCCAATTGCAAAAATCCAATGCATATTCACGAACAAATATGTGTCTAAATACCATATCATAAACAAAACAATAAATTCAAGCCAAAGTTAGGTATGAAATAGTGAAAAATGTGTTAGGAAAAAAATTTACTTGTTTTGTTTATTCAATAGCTTCGTATGAGTTCCAAATGGAACACGAGTTCAGCCGTTAAAATACCGCATTTACATAATCGTAGATGCTTGGTTGTAAATTAAGAGTACAATTATCACATGAATGAGTCAATTATGTATATGTGTATTTACTTTTTTTCAAGACTTTTTGCACAAAACTATTATGAAATTTAATTTTCTTTACCTAACTCGTCCGTCATAAATGTGCATGAAATACTTGCCATTGGACATAAAGCAAACAACAATATATATATATCCTTAATTATATGTATTCAATGACTTAAGAATTCCTGCATCCTAGAAAAATTTGTATAGAATAAATTATGTATATCCACTCAGACCGGTCCGTCTTAAGACATTTCTGTAGACAACATTGTAGACATGTCAATGCTTACTGTAACCGCATAGAAAAAAAAAATTAATGCTCTATTGTTTTTTTTTTATTTATTTACCCATTTCCTCTGATTTCCTCTACTGTATGTTGTTTTGAGAACACGTGTTTTGTGACACCATCGCATTCTTTGTTGTATTTTAAGTAACCTTCGAAATTTCCTTCGGTGATTTCCATTGCTTTACGAATAAATGAGAGAGAGAGAGAGAGAGACAGAGAGAGAGGTGAATTAATTGTTTACAAATACGCATGTCTATATTTATATCTCATCAAACAGTCTGAGTCAATCACATTTAAAATTTTATGACTTATTCTAAAAACTTTTATTGTATAAAGCGGTAATATGATTTATTTGGTATGAAACGAAAAGAATATTTGACACATCAACTTATTTCTAAAACACCATTACTATTATGCTATACAAAATTATGAAATATTGAAGTTAGCGATTGATTTTATTGTATCTGTTTATGTCTTAAGCAAGTGCATGATTTCTTAGCCTTGACCTTTATTTTTGTTCTTTTGTTGTTACAGCTCAACAACGTTTTGTTGGGCTTTGGAGTCACTTCAATGTTTGCCTCGTGAATTTCTTATTCAACTTAAAATAATCAAAATGTGAATTTAAAGTATCGAAATGGATTATTTATGCACGTTATAATACCTGATATCCTACAATAAATTGAAGTGCTGTCATACATATTTCAATTATCGCATTATTAACATTTTTTTAATATAAGAGTACTTACATGTTTTGACTAACGTAGGTTGTTGGTACCTTATCACGGTGTCTTCCTCAAATGCCAACATTTTATAAAATTTGTAGAATTAGTGCAAACTGGAATTCCTGATTATATGCACATGTTAACTTGGTGATGCAACACTTTTCAAAGTTTCATTTTAAGAGAATCCATATTTGTTCAAGCAGTAACAGCAAAAAGTTATTTTCAACGAACTAGATTTAGCTACCTGTAATTTACCTATTTGTTTATTTAGTATGATTGTTTTGATAAGCATGCACTTTTGGTTTGATAACTACTTACACCTATTCCTCGAACGCCAACATAATTTTACAGGTAAATTGTCGGTAGATCAAAGGATGTTGGCATTCAAGGAATAAACCCTTATCACACATCCAGTCCTGTGGTGGTAGACATTGATTATACAACAAGTCGTATTTCTGGCAGAGGTTCGATTTCTTATTCTCATTCGGATTAGGGACAGCAGATGCAAGCGTGGCAACTATGACAGCAATATAAAGTTGTAGTGGAACCTGAGAAAAAATAAATACATTTTTCTTTTCAATAATGAATATCTTTTATCTTTCTGTTTATGTATTTAATAATAATAATTTTTAATCACAGGGATAAAATACTTTGAAGGTAAAAATACATGACTCCTAATATTGTTTATATATTCAAAGCGTTTATTCTTTAATATCGTCCTAAATATGTTAAGACATCGTGTTTCAAATTAACGAACCACAATTAACGAAAAAGGGAAAACAGATATATATGTATATATTCATGAATCTCTGGTGAAAAGTAGTTGATGGTGATATATAAAAACATTCGTAGACTTTTATATAAAGATTTCTTTATAATGAAGTAATATTTCAAGGACATTTCCCTTACAAAAGTGTTTTTATCCAAATTGAAAATTGGTTTTTTTCTTTTCACTGCGATCTTCACATAAAAAAGTAGAACACATTTTTCAAATTTTAAAAGGAGTTCATAAATTTTTACTTAATATAAGTAGTTCTTGTAAAATCAAATTAATTTTACCATTCGTTGGCTTTGATATATAGATTTCTTTAAGTAATATATCAAAAACATTTCCCTTACATCAATTGGTGAAAAACATATTTTAAAATGTGTTCATCAATTTTTACTAAATATAAGTAATTCTTGTAAAATCAACTTAAATTTTACCATTTGTAGACTTTTGATTAATTTAGAATAAAGTAATGTATCCAAACCATTTCCCTTATAAAAGATTATCTTTCCAAATAGAAAATTCTTTTTTCTTTTCATTACGATCTTCACATCAAAAAGTAAAAACAAGTTGCTTTCTTTAAGACCGCTGACTGGTCACCAAAAAATTGTTGCTGAATTTTTGTTTGCTTTTGAATTGAAATAATTGACTGTGAATAGAATAAGATAATGATGATGTAAAAACACCTTTATTAAAATATGTAATTGTCTGTAGATTCTTGCACAAGTTAGTTGAAAGAAACGTTGGGTAGTTGTGAATTGAAAAGTGTATATATACAGCTACTATTTGAATATACATTTTAAGGCTCGACTATTTTATTTATTATTTGGGAGTGTACATCATTTTTTCGTAACCCTTTTGCAAATCCAAGCTTCTACAAACCGTATGTCTAATGCCAATTGCACTAAACCAATTGCAATATAAATGTAAGCACTCAGTTTGCTTTATAATCTGAATGCATTTATTTTATCTATCATTTCTTCATATTATGTTTCCTGGATGCCGTCAATTATTCTCAACTCGTTATTGAAGCTGTCTGTACTCATGGTAGCTGTTGTACAGATAAATTTAAAGCGCAATTTTCCTGTAGAGAATTTTCATGAGAGTAACACACCAGCTTCATTGGTACATCTTATATAGATACTTATTTTGGTCTCATAAAACATCTCAAATTTTAAGGATTTCCTGATTTTAATGAAATCAATCCAAATATTTTACATGAAAACTCTGTTTTGAAGAATATCTTGTTTTCAGAAGTTTTATGAATACCTGAACATATTCTCAAAAGAACCAATTTATATAAAAAGATATGTAGATATAAAAAGATATCAGGATTAAAATGTTGTACGCCAGACGCAAGTTAAGTCTACAAAGAAACATCAGTGATGCTCGAATAAAAAAAAGTTAAGAAGGCCAAATAAAGTACGAAGTTGAAAGGAATTCATGACGTAAAATTTCGAAACAAAGGTTTTGCCGAATACATCTAAAGTGATCTATTTCTGGGGTAGAAAATCCTTAGCATTTCGAAAATGTCAAAGTTTATAATAGGACAGTGACTCAAAAAAGAAAAGAAAAGAGAAACAACTAGAGGTTAGAATACCGCAAGTAATGATGACCGTGCTTGAAAGCCGCATGTTACTGACGTGTCCTGAATTTAGATAAGAAAAGCGAAAATTCGCATTCACGAGTGAAATTAATATTTATGCATGCACGTGGTATTTTTGCACAAGAAATAGTAAATAGAAAGCATACGCACTGATACTCTAAATAAGAATACGCATTTGCGTCATCACATATATTAATCTAATAGTTGAATTCGGATGTCAAACTACATACCTCAAGTGTTTTGACTCCGTATTCATTGCCATTTAATCCGGAATTTGTGTGAACAGGGTGATATATAATGTGAATGAACCAAGACGTG